GGGGCTCCGCTGTGCCTCCCCGGCGGGGGGAGGGGGGGGGGCAGGGCCCGGGATGCTGAGGAGCCCTGGGCTTTCACGGGAAGTTACCGGTGTCCTGGGGAGGAAGAGCTGCCAGCCCTGCTGGCTTCTCGCTATTGTCAGGGCCGGGAAGGCGATGGTCTGCGTCGCAGCCCATGCTCTGGTTCCCCCCTCCTGCCCGTCCCTGGATGCGCGGCAGTATCTCGGTGCTCGGCTTGAGCAGGGCCGCGGGCCGGTGCCGGGGAAAGCGGAGCCGCTGTTGATGTGTCTTTGTTCCTCTCGTGATCGATAACTGGACTCTGCTCAGGTGAGGAGGGCGAGAGCTGGTGCGGAGCTGTGGGGTGTCTGCCCGCGGGGCTGGCTCTCCCTGCCTTGCAGGCTGCTGCGCGTCGAGGCTTTCCGTCTTGTTTCCCTGTAGAAATAGTGATCTCTATCTTCTACTTAAGTGGTGTCATTCGGATTCAATTGTCAGCTGTGCTGGGAACTCCCGTATTTACTCTCCGAAAAACCTGTCCTGTCTTGTGTAGTCTCTCAAATAAGATCTTGCTTCTGTACTGCTTTTAATGTCCAGCTTGGATACTCCAGCTAATGTGCATCAGCTCTTTCTTTCCCTGACTTTTGTCCTTCCCTGGTCTGGGAAGTTCACACCTCCTTCGTTGCCTTCAGCAACCCATCAGGATTGTCCACAAACCAAACATCTTTTGTTTTGAAAGACTATCTGCTGGCACCAGACACCGACTTGCCTGATTCTCAGCCATCCTCAAGGCATCCTATGCCACAGTATTTATTCAGTATAACCTTTATGTGATGCTGGACATGCATATTTGACACCTGTTAGTGTGTATTCTGAAGTCAAAATTGTGAGTTTTCACAAATTCACTTTTTTTCCTAGGAATGTAGCTGTTTGTTTAAATGTACTAATGGAGCTATTTGTTAGTGTTTCACTCAAAGTAATCGAGAGGTTGCAGGAAGGATGCAATTCCTTTTACTGTATGTGCAGAACCCATTACCGTGCAGCAAGTAGAAATGCTTCCTCACATAGTTCTGGCTTCCACATAGCACTTGCTACTTCAGAGCTTAAGTGATGTGTTTCAGAGGTACATGTGATTCAAGTGCTTTATGGTGTGAGAAAGTACATGCTCTGTATAAGATTTCTGGCAGTTCTTGTATTTACTGGTCTCTTAAGTGTTCAGTTTTGATGAACTGGAATGCCTAAGAAGTAGTTGTTACAGTAGATGGAGAATGCATTTTTCCCCACTTAAAGTGCTGCTCTATAAACTGTAAAAGAGTACAAACCTTGCTTTTCATTTTAGCTCAGAGGGTTTTTTAAATTTAGAGACTTTATATCAAAATTAGTGTTGGAATTATGAATGTAGCAGCAATGTTGAAGTCGGTGACAGCAACATCAACCCCATGCTTAGGGGGCACAGCGGTTTAAAACCACTTGATCTCTGGAGGGTTAAGAACCATGAATTACTGACATGCAGTTGAAGTTGTCCAGATAGCTAGTAAATTATTATTAAGCTCCAGTTTGAGGCTCAGACAACTTTAGTATGTAATTTAAGTGCTACTCTCTTGACTTCTTATCATCTGTGGGATATAAAGAAAAACTTAGGTTGAAAGAGACCTCAGGAAGGAATCTGGTTCGGGGTCTTAATCGAAGCAAGGTTAATTTCACTTGATGTGTATTTGGTTCCTGTTAAATCTCAACACATGCACAGTATCCTAAACACTGGATAAGGAGAGTCTATGTGCTCAATTAAGCACTGCAAGAAAGTTGACTGTCTTGATCTTAGCATCTTGTTAGATGCTAAACTTAAATTGCAAACAAAATTTTAAGCCTATTACTGTCCTGTCGGCGGTGAACACTAGTAACTTCCTCTCCCTTCAGTAGCAGTCTGAAGAAACTAGTGTTTTTGAGCAAAGAATATCCACGTAAGCTCTGCTTTCCAGACATCCAGTCACACTTGTTATGCTTCCTGACCCTTCAGAGGTCTAGCTCGACAGCCCTATGCAGGAGTACAAACTATATTGTAAAGCACTAGCTGCGGCGCTGTGTGGGATTGATTTCCTGTTCATCTGTAAACAATAGTCGCTGTAACTCTTCAAGGGATACAGCCCTTCGGACCTCCACAGAAACTTAAAGCTGTACTTTGAGATGTGCCAGAAACCGTTAAACACTTGAAAAGCAGGGGCAGGCGTGGTCATCTCATACAGCCCTGTCAAATGCCACCACTGCTGTTTTGTGTACAAGAAAGACATGGTTTTCCAGTTTCTCAGTTAGAAACCCTGGGACCAGCCAACTGAAAGGCTGCCTGGGCAGCTTTGGGCTTTGCAGGTCATGTGTTTCTCCGTGTGGAAGCTGCCAGGCTGATCCCGGTGCTCAGAGAAGACGTGGTGCTTTCCAGGTTAGCTGTGGGATCCTGCCGTAGTCCCTGGATAGCTTTAGTATAAATTCCCGTGAGCTGTGTACTGTAATAATCTAATCTTGAGCAGGGATATCAGTGGTATGGTTCATGTCTAAAAGGCCACAAGCATTGCCTTCAGTTTATAGTCTGTTTCTAGTTGACTGGGTTACAGCTGTAATATGATCAAACAGCAGCTGGAGATCCAAAATAACTTGGAGAGGTTGTATACCCTCGGAACTAATGGAAGACAGTCATTCAAAGGAAGCCACTGACACCTTGTCCTTGCACCACTGAAGATTCCCTTCCAGTTTAGCACCTCGGCTTACACCGAACAGCATCAGCATGATGGGGACGAAGCTTGGCCCTGACCTGCTGTACGCGGAGCTTACTGCTCCTTGGGAGCTGACATACAGGTTGAACAGAGGCGAAGACCGCTTGTAGCACTAACTGCTGCTTGGTGGGAGGAGCCACCTGGACACAGCTTTCCATCTCCGAGAACAGGACTTTTGATGATTAGTCCTGTCTACGACCATCAGTGCTCCGAATAAGTTAGTAACAGTGTAGTATACCAGCGATGCTCAGTACTGGGGCTGAGTGGACCCACTTTTTGCTGCCCTTTTTCTGGGGAAGCTGTGGTGCCCTCTGTCCCCTATCATCCATGTCACAGGGCTGGCTGTGTGCATATCTTTCCAGCTGTGTAGTGGGAGGGGCAGTTGGCTCGCACATCACCACAGGCTGTGACATGGTCGGGGTTTGTGAAAGGTCTGTTGAGCATGTAACTTGTAAAGGTACTGCAGGAATTGTGGCGTGTCCTGGCAGAGGGGTTGAGTACTTCTGTGGTAACCTGTTGGAAGCAATTGATGCAGCTCCAGTACAGAATTCTTCTATTGCCAGAAAGCATGCATCAAACCAGTATGTTCTGGTGCTTATCTGAACTGGCAAGGCTTCCCGAAAATAGAAAACAGCTAGACTGGTAAACTTGATGAGCTTCTGTAACCTGTGGCTGAAAAAAATCTCTATGCGTACAGACCATGCTCATTCTGTAGCCCATTTCAAGCTTCCATGTGTCAGTGTCTGATGTAATTATGCTACCTGTTTTCCTGCACTAACAACCCAGTAAGTCTGAGTCTGACCTTTTTCTGTTTAATGGCTCAAATTAATTTATGCTTCTACCTGGTAGTTGCCACACAGTCAATTGCAGCCTTTTTCCACTCTGATGTGTAACATCACTGGTTAGTACCTGCTCAAGTGTACCTATAGCTGGGACTCGGTAAAGCCCTGGTAGGGCACTGAGGCTTTGAATTTATCACTAAAAGCTTGCTTTGTGATCGGTGGATATTACTTATAAAACCAGTGGCATGGAATAGAGAGAGAATTTTAATAGGAAGTTCTTGTCATTATTATACGGATAGAGGTAAAGTTTTATCAAATATATGAAGGCAAAGGTGCAAATTTGAGCTCTAAAGCCTTCTAAGATTTTTTTCGCCTTACTGTTTCACCGTCCTCTCGTGTGGTCTGTGGCAGTTGTCTCAAGCTGAATGCTTACAAAGGCTGGGCTGGGGAGGGATGGGGAATACGGCAGCATAGCACTCTGGGGAAGTCGTCAGTTTTGGAGTAGGATTCTTCACTCCAGCTGGTCTATGGTCTTTACCTTCACAGCTTGATGTAAACAAAACTGTTTATGCAGGCTGCTGAAAAAGTTGGCATTTGAGGCAACAGATGTGTGCAGTAAGGAGATTCAGGGTTCTGGAGGTAACCTTTTTTTGGTTACTTTTGGCAAGTATTACAAGAGTACTTTTTAATTGCATAAATAACTTCCACAATGCTGCAGTGGTAATAGTGGACTAATAGTAATCTTTCTAATGCTAAAGTGCGCTCCTTTGGTACTGAAGACCGGCCCACAGACAGACCTGCTCCTCCGAGAGAAGAAATCTATGAATACATTATTTTTCGAGGAAGTGACATCAAAGACATCACTGTCTGTGAACCTCCAAAAGCTCAACATACTCTGCCACAAGATCCTGCCATTGTTCAGGTAAGTTAGCCTGAAAGTTAGAAAGCTGTGATAAAACATTGTGATGAAAGACTTGGTTTTGGTATAAACTTATAAAAATGAAGGCAACCAAGTATGTGACGGAATCTTCAGATTGAAGCATCCTGCATCTTATTGTAATGTTAAAAATAGCAGCAGCATTGAAGACTTCATTCAACAAAAGCCAGAGCTAGTTTACCTAGCTGAGCATGCAGGAAAATCGTAAAGAGGTGAACTAACCCTTCTCAGTATTTACTTAAGCTTCAGTAATGCTATATGTGAAGTAGAGAATCACTGCCAAAGCAAGTTGACTTTTGGACACTGTAAATTGAAATGTACTTTGTTTTGTTACAGTCTTCACTGGGCTCTGCCTCTACATCATCCTTTCAGCCACATGTGCCTTACAGCCCGTTTAGAGGTATGCCACCTTACAGCCAGCTTGCTGCCAGCTCTTTACTTAGCCAGCAGTACGCAGCTTCGTTAGGTTTAGGTAAGTAAAAACTTTACTTGCTAGAATAAAGGTACAGTTCTTGTATGCAGCTACTGTGAAACCAAATAACAGTAACTAAGACTGAATTCCTTGCCGAGTGTCAGGCTGCAAGAAGCAGTGCATAAGTAGTTAACTTTGTGCAATGATTTATTGCAAGCAGGCCCGCCTTTCTCTTACGCGCGCACACACACAGACACACACGGAAGAAAGAAACAAACTAAACAGCTAGTTTCTTTCTGCGAGTAATCTGAATACTTAACAGTTGAGGCCAGTTCATTTCTAACCTAACATACCTTTCACATACATCACATGTGAAAAGAACTTGTATTCCCAGAGAGGACTGTAAATGTGCTGCTCTAATGCTATTCCAGACTCTTTCCAAGTCCTTCAGATGTTTCACTACCTTGTATCTTATCCGTATATCTTTGCTTTCTCTTCTTCCCTCTATCTCTTTAGAGAAATTGGTAAGCCCTCCAGCATCAGCAGCTGCTTCCAGTCCTAGTTCTTCTCCGTCTCCACAACCTGTTTCAGAGCCTGACATGTCTTCAGAGCCCCATCAGCTCTCTTCCAAGGGTAACAGCAGTTTGAGGACTCCAAATATTTGGAAGAACTGCATGGCACTTGCAAACACTCTGTTCTTGTTAACCCCTCCTAGAATGATAGTACTTATATGGGTAATGCCAGTAGAACTAGTTTATTCTCAGCTGTTCTTGCATTTCACTATATGAAGTATTCCTCCTGTCCTAGAAGTATCAATTAGAGAGACAGGAGAAAGAAAAAGTACAGGACAGTGGATCCTCTGTGTAAGTATCAGGAGAGAGATGAGGTTTAGGGATGTTGATGTGCTGCATCCTATCCAGGAACATGTGTCACCTTAGAGACTGGGCGAGGAGTTAGTCTTTCCTGGAAAGACCAGCACACTGCTTAAGTTGTGGGTGGCCTTACTGTTAGAGACATAGGTTAATAGAAAATTTAGGAGTATTGCTGTAACTGAGGAACTATCAGGATAGATTTTATGCATGATGGGGCATAGTACCTTGTCAAGACTCCCAATTAGTAAAGCATGACTAACAGTAAGCAATATCTGAGTTGTGGTAAGCTGAGATAACACAGTTCTGGGTGCTTGCTTCTGTGTGTTTAAAAAAAAAACACCAACCCCCCCACCCCCCTGACTTTTAAAGGAGGTTAAGTAGAGATACTAGACTGACCATCCTCAGAGCAGAGAGACCAGGTGCAGCCTGCATTTAAACATGGTAATTAGTTTCATCTGTTTTTAATTTAAGCATGTATGCTTGTGTTGGCATGAAACTGTTTTTACTTACTCTCTGGTTTTGGCCATCTATCTGTACATACTTTATCAATATTCTGGCTAAGCTTTGAAACTTTCTTATGTTAAACTTGCACAGCAGCTTTGTCCTACTGAATAATCCTTAGGATATGTCTGTCTTCCTTGCAAGTTTTCTAGGTGTACATTAACTGGGAACCTGCATGATGTTACCTACTGGGTATATCTCATGTGGACTTGGGTGACCCAGAAGTGTCAGTGGCTTGGTTTGTGTGTACTCTTCAGCTTTTCACTTTTCTTGCTCTTAAAGTATATTCAGTTAAAGTGCGCTTCCAAGCAGTTCTTACGCATAGCTACATAAACCTGTAGTACTCCAAAACTTCTAATTAAATCTAGAATGCAGTGTTTCTTCTGAGTACTGAAGACTGTCACTTTTTAATATAATTGGTGTAAGGTATACCAAACCATGAAAAGTATTTACATGTTTTGTAGTGTGAATAAATAAGCCTGGATGGAAGAGCAACAGAAGTCTTGGTAACACTTTGGCCTTGACCAAGAAGGAATTTAAAAGGGTAACTTTGAGATCCTGGTCTGGTTTCAGGTTTTCTTTGTCTGAAAGCTAACAATAAGCGATGAAGTTGAAGGACTTCTAAAAGCGGCTTACAAATGGGATGTAGTTGAGGTGGTTAAGCTTTTGCTGCAAAACTTCTTTGACGAAGTGGGGAAGCTTTCTTGAGCAGTTTCAAAATGGTGGATTTTTGCTTCAGATTTAAAATATTGTGTAAAATAAAATCCTGCGTAACCAAGAATACACCTAGAAATTGGATTTTGGTATAAACTGTCTAAGAGACTGACCTGGCTTGCTTATCTAATGTGTGTCTAATGTGGTTTAAGAAGTAAATGGGTAAATTTCCTGATATTAAGGCTCTGGATTTGAGAGCCAAGACTTGTATGGCAGTAGTGCCTTACCTAGTGTATATGCCACTTAAACATAGCGTGTAATGATAAACACTCAAGGCTTTGAGTAATTCTTGACAAAACGGTTTCTCGGTAGCAGTGGGTAGGGTTTGAATAGCGTTGGCACATTTTCCGAGAGGCACTTAGTCATTGGGATTTTTTCCAGGTGCTGGCTTTCCTTCTGTTCACCCAGTCCGCAAAAGCCCCATGGTAGAGCAGGCTGTTCAGACTGGCCCCGTTGACAACATGAATTCACAAAAGCCTCCCCCAGTGAAAGTAACTCCAGGGGTTCAGCGCAATGGACGGCAGGTTCCGCAGGGCAATAGTAAGACAAATGGTATGTATGCACCGCTTCGTCTTTAAAGTGCTGTTTGGACACATCTGTCGAAGACTCATAGCAAGACTAAACTGCTTTGGGTTTGTTCTTGTGCTCCTTTATTAAGTTTGTCCTTCTTGTTCAGTAGATACAGTTCAGGCAGCACCTGTGCAAACCCAAGGACAGGTGAATGATGAAAACAGAAGACCTCAAAGGAGAAGATCAGGTAGGTTAACCTGACACTGTAAAGGCAAATATGGTGAACTTCAGTGAAGGATTATTGGGCAGAGGATTGAGAGCAAAATAAAGCTTGGTAAGGCTTTGGGCAGAGATGCTTCCCTAATAAAACAGGTTCTGGAGTCACAGAAGTTCAGAATATTCCAGGGACAGAATTCTGGTGTCTTTCTAGAAACTTGAAGGTATGTTGTACAAATGGATGCTATGAGTTGGCAGCAGCAACTAGATTTCTCTGAAATCTGAAGTATTTTTGTAGGAAGGGCAGCCTATTTAAGAAGCCCTCGCTTCCATAGTGCAGAGGTCTTATCTCAAGACTGCAGTTTAGGCACAGGTCAAAAGAAAGTGAAATTAAATTCAGATATTTCTGCCCAAGCAAAATGAGAAAAGGCAGGAAACAAAACTTGAGGCTCTCAGGTCTTCAAATTAATTTGCCTGAGGGCAGCACTGTAGAAGGGGTCAGAGCTTTTCCAAAAAGAAGTTGATAGCTCCTCAGTTGGGAACCAGAAGCTTTACAAAGTACAAGCTCCCTTTGTGGGTAGATGAGCCCTGGGTGGATTTTCTGAAGCCAGTGACCTGCTCTTCTTTGCCATCGTGGCAGATTTGTGGGTTAAATACAGTCTCATGCCCGCAGCTGAACAGCGGACAGAAAAGATAGTTTTCCCTGCTTCCCTCAGCTTTTCTTGGTATGGTGTTTGTTCTGATTTCCTCTCCTCACACTGGAAGGGAACTTGGGTGTACTCAGTCTTGATGGTGAGACTGACATCCAGGAATGCTTCTCAGAAAGTTAAAGTATTGCTGTAATGTCTTCTACAGCCAAGTTCAGAAGTTACGTTCAGAGAGGTGTGGGCTAACCGCAGGACTGGAAGCCAGAAACTCCCGAGTTCTAACCGTGGTTTCCTCTGGTCTTAAACAAATCATTTAACCTCCCCGTGCGTTACCAAGTGTTTAAACTCTCCTGCTTTCAGGAAACAGGAGAACCAGAAACCGTTCTAGAGGACAAAACAGACCAACTACTGTGAAGGAAAACACAATAAAGTTTGAAGGTGATTTTGACTTTGAAAGTGCAAATGCACAATTCAACAGAGAGGAACTTGATAAAGAATTCAAGAAGAAACTAAACTTTAAAGGTTTGTGGCTTTGTTAAATATGAACTGCTGAGCTCGTAGTAAACACTGCATAGACAAACTCATTCTGAGAAACTGCGTGATTACATGTGGCAGCGTCTCAAATCTTGTTTGAGGGAGCAAGAGAACAGATGGCTCTGCAGCATGCATCAAGGGAGTGTAATATGTTTTATTATCTTCAGATGACAAAGCAGAGACGGGGGAAGAAAAAGGGGACCCTGGAGTGGCAACTCAAAACAATGACGGTAATGCAGAGGAGGACCTTCTGGGACCCAACTGCTATTATGATAAATCCAAGTCTTTCTTTGACAACATTTCTTCAGAACTGAAATCTAGGTGAGTATTTTCTGCTTTTTTTAAATGCAATTCTATGCCTGAGGAGTTGTAGCCATAAGCAATGTCACATGGTTTAATTCTTCAAAAATCTTAAAATGCAAGAAACTCAGCAAAACAGTCATTAGAAGGGAGTATTGCCATGCGCTTGGTGGCTTATGAGTCGTACTGAGTTTTGTGCAGTGGGATCAAACAAAAAGCAAGGATTTCAGCTGATAGCGATACACTTGCCTAAACTATGATACAGGAATTTCCTGTTCTGTTTCCCAGTACTGACTTTGAACCCATTGATTTTAAACAAATTTCTTATCTTATTTGTGGGAGGAGGCATCAGGGTCACTCTGTGCTGAAGATGGTGCAACTTGCAGACAGCAGCAAGCTAGGCCTGGAGTTCTGGCAGAGAGGAGGTCAGGTCCGTCTGTGGAAATCCATTAAATCAAACAAGACTGTTAAAAGAAAGCTTCATCTTTTGCTGCTGACACTGATGGTATCAACTGCCTGGTGAAGTCAGACATCCCGTTTAGTGCCAGTATGGGCAATTCCTTTGGTAATGTTTCTGCTTCCCTTCAGCAGAGCTTTCTTCCAGGCGAGGTGGGCACTGCTAAGGAGGGAACGCTCCAGTGCTGTGGAGCTGCCTCGGTAG